GTTGTTACACATATATCTCTGCATGTGAGCTGGCCTTGTGGCCTTTTGCTTGTGCTCAGACTGCGTGGTGACGTTGTGATCCACCCTGAGCTTGTTTTGCACTTCCTGTCTGGCCTTGTGACCCTCTGTTCTCCCCCACTTTGCCTATGGGGGTGTGTCAAACATATGTTTGTATGTTATAGTTTAGGTAGGCTTTAGTGGGGTACTCACTGTGGGTACAACCCCTTAGGTTTTCCTTTTGTACCATCCCTCTCGATAGTTCAATCATCTCTTGCCTAAGATTCTAACAGCAGCGATTCTCCAGAAGCGAAGGGGAGTGTTGGAAACAAGTGATTTAAAACGCTTCTGTCGTATCGAAGCTTCAACACGAAACGGAACTGACTACAGCGAAGAAGCACTCGAGTCAGGGCTGACTATTCAAAAAAATCCAGTCTGATGTTCTGGGGGCTCTGAAAATTTTTAGTCTGAGGCATATTTCCCAGAGAATGGCCACTCTGATTTTTCAGGTTCCGCAAAAACACAAGTCTGAAGTACTCAGAACACACTACAACCACTGCAGTACAGTACTGCCACAAATGTAGCACGTGGGGCGCAACGCTAACCAGTTTCCCTCGCTGACACCGCGTAGCTGCAGTGATGGTCCCGCGTGAGTGGAAGAGTGAGCCAAGTTGGCAGATTTCTAAGGGAAAAGGGTGGCAAAAGTTGCCAAGGACAGATTCTGCACGTGACAGCGCCATGAAGTGTGTTCGTACACTGGCAACATATGACGTAGCGGAATGTACGTAGAAATCACAGATCCGCATTTCAGGATCCGTACTCCCTGTAGTATGAAGACCCATTATCGGCTAAGTCAGTGTTCTGAAAATCTCAGGATCCAAAACCAAGTAAGTCTGAGGCACTCATGTTTGAAAATCTTACAAGTCTGAAAAATCAGGATCCGTAGGAAAATACCCTGAGATTTCAGACAATCAGACTATTTTAGTCTGATAAAGTCAGCCCTGACTCGAGTCAACCAAGGCAACCGTCGGAGGTTACGCGAAGGTCAAAGGTCTCCGACCTTTGACTTGACAAAACGTACAGTGCGACAGCAAGGACACATAACTGACTCGTTACTGAGCAGTTACCCGAGTCGGCACTGTATCGAACCGCAATAGCAAAAACCGTTAAAGTAGAACTTTTTATATTCCTTGTAATCATATAAAAGGCTTGTATCTCTTTGCTATTAATCAACTTATCTTGTTCTCACACACCAGTACAAGGTGGTTCAAGGCAACTTTTATTAATCACTTCCGCAATTACATCTCTACGTCAACACCTGATCTTACCGTAGTCCTGAAAGTTCCTAAGGGCTTTTCTCAGCCCAACAGTTTGAAGCATGACAGGGGTGATCAAGTGCTTTCAAATCTGTCTATGAACCAGGGAATTCAGTCTGAAGTTCCAAAACCACGACTTAGCTGGATAATTGGTTCATAAACAACATTCTGTACATACAGCCAAGCTACTTGGATAATAGCTACATCCTCTCTTCACTGCAGCGCAGAAACTTTCTTCCAGGCAGGGCGAGAGGAGATCCTCTCCCACCACGCATTCACATTCGGACGCGAAGTAATGAGATTCGAATCCCCTGACACCCACAGCAGAGCCGTGTAGGGCAGGTGCGACAGATCCGCCAGCGAGAAATTGGGCCCCGCCAGATACTCGTTGCTGGCCAGATGGGCTTCGTACACATCAAGGACCTTCGAGAGCTGCGTGCGGGAATCAGGGAAGGACAGGCGGAAAGAAGGCAGCGACAGATTGCTTTGACTGGCATTCAGAAAACCAGAGAGAAATTGGATCTCGTCAGGTACTCGTTGCTCGTTACTCGTTGCTCGGCAAATGGGCTTCATACACATCAAGAACCTTTGAGAGCAGCGGGAATATAGCATTACGGAAGAGCAGGCGGAAAGTGGACAGAAATAGACTGCTTGAATGGCATTCTCACTGCAAAAAGGGCTACTTTTTTCCGCCGAATAGAACCAAAAAGAGCACAGAAGTAGATTGCTTGACTGTTCTCGTCACTTACCTTCGCCTTCAGCTCTTCTGCCTTGGCCAGGTCGGGCTCGCCCCCACCGAACATGGGCTTGAACACTTTCTCCGAGATCAGTGCTGAAAGGGGCGGGTTGTAGTTCTGCGCCTCCACCTCCAACCACTGGTTCACCAGCGCTCGCTCCTGCACGATACGGTAACACACAGCAGACTTGGGATGTTAAGAATCTACCATGTAAAATTCTAAGCCTGCACCTCCATCCACTGATTCACCAGCGGACGTTCTTGCGCGACAACATTCAGATGGGTAATTCTTCAGTTGAATCGACAAACACGCGTGGAGGCGCTCTACTATCACCGCCGGTAGCAACTAGCAGGTGTCAGGACTCGATGGTGGTGTTTCAGCGGGCTAAAGAGTGGATGAGTAAATACCTTGAGCGTGGAGCCGAGAAGGTCGGTGCCTTGGCCGGAATTCTTCTCAGCGATGTAACGAGCGATGGCACGTGATTCTGGTTAGACCATGGCGAAAGGCATTCAGGTGAACACAATGACATTTGAGCAAAGACTTAGTATAGATGTGGAAAATAGAGAGAGGAACAACTGAGCAGGACAACCAACAGGGAAAATGGATAGAGCAGAATAGACGGTGGAAAGAAACGGTGGAAGTGCAAACGTACCGAAGATCTGAACCTCCCCGTCATCGAAGTAGGGAATCAATCCAAAGGGCTGCGCAGTAACAGGGTCAAGGAGAGAAACGCACGGATGCAAACCCAGGCCACATGTTCAGAATTCCAAGGGTTACGAGGATGGTATGATATGAGACAAGCTGAATTCGACGCTGCTGTGCAATGCAAAGGGAAGGACACCACGGTGGCATTTGCGTGAAAAAAAAAAAAAAAAAATGCATTCGCGCAAAATTTTAGAACGAAACTGTAAAATTTTGCCCACCTGCTTCTTCTTGAACTCTTCCGACTTGTGCTCCCCTTTCCTGAGATCCACTGTAACCACCTCGTAGTCCTGAGGAAATGAAGAATTAAGGAATTGCTTGATTATCAGATTAAGAACAGGCTGGCAGCTGAAGCGACATCCCAAGCAGGAAAAAGGAGACCTAAGTTTTTATTATTCTAGTAGCTAACCATTTCGTACCGTAACAGCCTTCTCCTCGAGAGTGGTGAGCACCCTCTTGGTGCAAGTCGACATGTTCATGCCATAGACCTCGACTGGAGCCATGATGTCAGCGGCGAGAGCGGTGATCACGGAGACACTAAAGTATGCGGAACGATGCGAGAATGGAGACTAGGCTGAAGAGACGTTACTCTTGAAAGCCTGTCAGACGCTTGATTGCGGATAATTGCAGCCATGGCGTAGTAAATACCCCCAGCCGCTAGGTACGCGCTCCGGGCTAGACCTGGATTGCATACCAAGCGGAGTAACCAGGAAAGAAACTCCAACGTCGGAGTTTAGGAGGTTCTGGAAAGCGTCTCAGTCTAATTCGACGATGCTTCTGGCTGCTGAGGGAACCACACCTATATGAAAACTACACAAGAGAACCATGCGAAGAATATCCGCGCGTAGCACACCGGGGCGAAGGACATCAGTGCGAAGAACATTTGAGCGAAGGAAGGAAGTTGAACCTTCAGGAAAGACACAGAGCCTTCCACGAATCTGCGACATTTGCGACCCCACTTGTTCCACTGGCGCATCAGGGTTTAGGCTCGGGTACCAGCACAGGTTCGGTGGTGGTGGTCGGGTACCAGGTTTGGTGCTCGAACGAGAGGAAGTGGTTTGGGGTTTGTCAAATTGGTCCTATTGGTCTGTCAAGTTTGTCAAACACGGTGGGTGTTCGACTTTTACAGAGCGGGCAATTGTGTGGGTCAAGTTTGTCAAACTCAGGGATGTTCAACTTGGCGGGTACCTCATGCTGCCCCACATCAGCTGGTGCTGCCCCGCGTCGGCTGGTGCTGCCCCGCGTCGGCTGGTGCGCGCATGGTGCTAGCTCTTCACGGATGCCCCATGCGTGCATCAGTGGTGCTTCGGTTTGCCAGGATAGAATGGTTCCGGGAACGCACATTCGGTTCTTAAACCGGGGGGCAAAAAGGGTGTTCGGCTGGCATCCTGCACCAGTTCGCTTCGGTGCTCATGCGCCTAACCCAGACCCGAGTCAGCAGTTATCCGTTTATCTCAGAAGCTTCGAGGGAGCACGCTGTACTGTAGCCGGTACCCGAGCCTGTGCCTGATGCGCCAGTCGAACAGGGCCTTGACGTCAGATCTCGTTTCGCTGTCATTAGTTGCAGTGCAATCTTGAGTGGTTTGAATACTCCATACAAGCATACTCTGTGTTACAACACACCTGCCTTTTTTTCTCCAAGACATAACAACAGAAAGCTTGAAGATCCCACAGCGACATTCGTTGACAGAGGTACTAGTTTGGGCTGACGGCGAAATGCTTCTGGTCTTCCGTTTCGCGCTCTCTAATTCGCCTCAATCGCCAGCAAATGCTGAGCAGCACACGAACCACCACTGTCACTCACGGCAGCCGAAAACTTGACAGCGCGACGTTGTTAGAAACCACGTGTCGCTGACTCATCAGCTGCAGGAGGCACCAGCACTAGCACCAGCAGCAGCAGCAGCAGAGCCAGCGTGATACAGTACAGTATCCAGGATTGCAGTGCGGTAGCTCTTAGCAGCACAGCGAGCATAAATTCAGTATCAAGGAGTGCAGCAGACAGGAACCAGCTCTTAGCAGCGCGCGGACCAGCTGCCGCGTCTCCCGCAGTTCAACCCCGCTAATTAGCCTACTAATCCGCGCATTCAACCAACCATTTCCGCCCTCCAGTCCATCAGTCCGCTCTCCGCTCTCCGCCTTCCACTCTCCGCTCTCCTCCTTCTACCCTCCGTTCTCCGCCTTCCGCTCTTCGCTCTCCGCCTTCCACTTTCCGCCCTCCACCCTCCGCTGTGTCCGCTGCCAGCGAGAGATGGCCACGCTTCTGCGTCGGGTCGCGGGCGATTTTAGACGGAGTAGTGGCGCGTCTGGCGCCGTGAATCGCGCTGCCGGGTCGTTCCAGAGCGGGTTTGCCGCGCATCCACGCAGTCTCATCGATGTCCTCGCGCTTCGATGGGTTAGTCACCGTGCCGTGCAGTGACATGGCAGATGCTCCCTTTAGACCACTTCTGGCGGAACGCGTTTTCGTAACATTGTTTCGCATGCGTTTTAGTGCCTGCACTCCCGCTACCTGCGCTTTTTTCAGTTTTTTCCATGCTCATATTTGTTTTCCATGCTCTTACATAACTTGATTCTTTATTGATTCACTCGCTGTTCTCCCTCGTGCTGTAACAACGTCGGCGCCATCCGCGCGTATCATGTGTCGCCACGTCTCTCAAAGCCCCCTTCCCCGCCGCCTGTTTTTCAGGCGCTTCACAAGCACTACTAGGCGCAGCCCAATCTCCGCGCGCGCGTGTGATGGCAATTTTTTAGTTGCCATCCTCCCCCGCATCACACGGCGGTTGGGCACTCAAATAGCAACAAACACTCACACCCCAACCTCCCCCGCCTGGCCCGCCGATTCCCTGCTTTTGAGTCGACTCAAAAGCAGACTCCGCTCCCCACCCTTCGAGGCTTCCCCTGCCCCCGTTTTCCCTCCTTTGCCCCCTTCCTCTCCCTTCCCCCCTTCCTCTCCCTTCCCCCCTTCCTCTCCCTTCCCCCCTTCCTCTCCCTTCCCCCCTTCCTCTCCCTTCCCCCCTTCCTCTCCCTTCCCCCCTTCCTCTCCCTTCCCCCCTTCCTCTCCCTTCCCCCCTTCCTCTCCCTTCCCCCCTTCCTCTCCCTTCCCCCCTTCCTCTCCCTTCCCCCCTTCCTCTCCCTTCCCCCCTTCCTCTCCCTTCCCCCCTTCCTCTCCCTTCCCCCCTTCCTCTCCCTTCCCCATACAGGCCAGCACACTAGTGGCGGCGGAGCACACGGGGAGGGGCGCGGGGGGCTCCGCCGCGGCCTTAAAGCCCCCCACGCTTTCCCCTGTCCCCCTTTCCCGTGCCGCTTACACCCTGCCCCATACCCCCTACTCCGCAGGCCAGCACACTAGTGGTGGCGGAGCACACGGGGAGGGGAGCGGGGGGCTCTGCCGCAGCCCTAAAGCCGCCCACGCTCTCCGCGGTGGCGGCTGCGCGGAAGCTGGGCGGGCCAGTGGCAGTGCTGGTGGCGGGCAGTGGCGACGCGGTTGCTGACGTGGCAGCTGCTGTGGCGAAGATCGAAGGGGTGGATGAGGTGGGTGGCTTGACTTCCGCCTTTTTAACGCTTTCAAATTTAGAGACGTCCCAAAACTCAAAACTCCGAAAAAACAAACAAACAAACATGTGAAAAAAAGACGAAAACTTCTATTCTGGCAGAAAGAAGAAGCTCGTGTTGATCTCTGGCGCAGTCCTTTAAAGCCCAACTAGAGTCTAAAGCACAACTTGTCTTCTGATTGCTGAAAAGCAGTCTTGGGATGCAATGTCAGAAGACCACACCACCTGACCTGACAGCAGAAAGCAGATGGAGCAGATTGGAAAGTACGTCTTTGGTCCAAAACCTGCATACCCCATCCCCACCTGACTCCATTATTGTCATATTCTCAGGTTATTACAACAGAGAGCCCCGCCCTGGACCACGCCCTGCCCGAGCCGCTGGCAGCGCTACTGACAAACCTCGCCGCCCAGCGGTCTTTCTCGCACGTCCTTGCCGCATCGTCCACCTTCTCCCGGAACGTGCTGCCACGTGTCGCCGCGCTATTGGACGCTGCGATGGTGTCTGACGTGGTTGAAATCGTGGATGAGACGACATTTGTGCGGTGAGGATGGGGGCGGGGAAGACAGGAGAGGGGAGAGGGGAGGGGAGGGGATCCTGGGAGGGGAGAGGTATTGAGAGGGGATGGGAGTGAGGGGTGCTACCAAGTAAGTGTTTGGTGAAGCGAGTTCAGAGGGTTGTGAGTGTGTGCTTGCATGCGTGCTTGTGTGTGTGCTTGTGTGTGTGCGCGAGTGCATTCTCCTCCGTCCTGCCCCTTTCCCCCGAAGCCCAATCTACGCTGGAGATGCACTAGCCACTGTGCCCTACTCTACACCCTTCATTCTCCCCTTCACCTCACTTTCCCCTTCTTCCCACGTGCTCACATGCTTCCCTGCTTCCTCCACCATCCCTCCCAGCCCATTCTACGCTGGAGGCGTTCTAGCCACAGTGCCCTACTCCACACCCATTTTTCCTCCCCTCACCCCCTCCCCCTCCCCTCCATCCTCCCTTCTTCCGTCTTCCGTGCTCCCCCCACCCTTCCTTCCCCCCCCCAGTCCAATCTATGCAGGGAATGCTCTAGCCACGGTTCGCTGCTCTACCCCCTCCCCCGCCGTCCCAACACTCCTCACAGTGCGCGCCACCTCCTTCCCTGCTGCCTCCTCCGCTGCTGCCTCTGCTCCCAAAACCACACCTTTCGACTTCCAAGGTACGTTCTGCCACACTTCCATCCTCCCCCCTCCCTCCCCCCCCCGCCCCAGCCGTCCCAACGCTCCTCACTGTGCGCGCCACCTCCTTCTCTGCCTCCTCCTCCTCCTCCTCCTCCTCCTCCTCCTCCTCCTCCTCCTCCTCCTCCTCCTCCTCCTCCTCCTCCTCCTCCTCCTCCACTGCTCCCAAGACCACGCCCTTTCGACTTCCAACTTCCAAGGTGTGCTCTCTGGCCTACCCTCGCCACTCCAACGCTGCTGTGAGCTATGCCGCAGGTACGCTCTATGCACACACAGTTCGCTGCTCCACCCCCTCCCCCACAGTCCCAACCCGCAGTGCGCACCACCTCCTTCCCTGCCACCTCCTTCCTTGCCACCTCCTTCCCTGCCACCTCCTTCCTTGCCACCTCCTTCCCTGCCACCTCCTTCCCTGCCACCTCCTTCCCTGCCACCTCCTTCCCTGCCACCTCCTCCTTCACACTGTTTGACTTGCAAGGTATTAAGGCGTCCCTTCCAGCCTGCTTCGCTCCCAAGGCATGTAAATGTATGCCCAAGGTAAGTTCTTTCTAGATAGACACGGTTCGTTGCCTCACCCTCCCTCTCTGCCATTTCAACGCCCCTAACAATGCACGCCACCTCCTTCCCTTCTGCCTCCTCCTACCCGTCCCACTCTGCCCCCAAGACCACGCGGTTTGACTTGCAAGCTGACTTTTGAGTCGACTCAAAAGTCACCACGCTGTTTGACTTGCAAGCTGAATTTTGAGTCGACTCAAAAGTCACCACACTGTTTGACTTGCAAGGTATTAAGGCGTCCCTTCCAGCCTGCTTTGCTCGCAAGGCAGCTCAAGGTATGCCCAAGGTAAGTTCTTTCTAGATAGGCACGGTTCGTTGCCTCATCCTCTCTGCCTCCATCCCAATGCTCCTCCCCTCTGCCTCCATCCCAATGCTCCTCCCCTCTGCCTCCATCCCAATGCTCCTCCCCTCTGCCTCCATCCCAATGCCCATCCCCTCTGCCTCCATCCCAATGCTCCTCCCCTCTGCCTCCATCCCAATGCTCCTCCCCTCTGCCTCCATCCCAATGCCCATCCCCTCTCTGTCCTGACTCCCCACCGCCCTTCCCTGCCTCCACCCCCCCTCCTCTTTCTTCCTCCCCTTTCTTCCCCCTTTCTCCCTCCCTTTTTCCTCCCCTTTTCCCCCTTCTTCCCCCCTTCTTCCCCCGTCCTTCCCCCCTTCTTCCCCCTTTTTTCCCCCGTTCTTCCCTCCATAATCCCAGCCCCCGCAGCGGATTGTTTTAGGTGCCTCAAAGCGAGCCATTTTTCTGCACTTAAACCTTCTTCTGCCCTTCGCCTTCCCTTCTTCCACCCTTCTTGCCCCCTTCTTCCCCATGTTCCCAGCCCCTGCAGCCGAAAATTCCTCCTGGGTCGGGCAGGAGTTGCGGGCAGCTGACCGGCCGGACCTGGGCAGCTCAAAAGTTGTAATTGCAGGCGGGCGTGGGCTAAAGAGCGAAGAAAACTTCAAGCTTCTGGAGCAACTAGCCGACAAGCTGGGAGGGGCAGGTGAGGGCTGGAACCTTAGAGCAGGTGAGGGTTTTAAATCAAATGCTGGACTAATTAAGAAGTATTCCAGCTGTACGGCAGCATGGTGTAAGCAAGCAAGCAACTAGCAGACAAACTGGGAGGGGCAGGTGAGGGTGTCAATCAAATGCTGGAGTAAGTAAGAAGTGAACCGGCTGGACTGCTGCATGGTGTAAGCAAGCAAGGAGTGAAGAAAGCTTCAAGCTAGCTACTGGAGCAGCTGGCGGACAAACTGGGAGGGGCAGGTGAGCAAAAAGCAGAGTGAATGAAATGCCAAACGCATGGACTTGATTACTGTATGCCAATTAATTGGGTTGGGTGTAATTATTCCCTTCGCTGCCTGGTGTGTGCCTGGTGTGTGCCTGGTGTGAGCCTGGTGTGTGCCTGGTGCGTGCCTGGTGTGTGCCTGGTGCTCAGTGGGTGAAATAACAAAACTACACTCTCCATAACTGTACTCTTCCTCTCCCTTGCTGTACTTTTTTCCCGCCTTTTTTGTCCTTGCCAGTGGGTGCCTCTCGGGCAGCTGTGGATGCAGGTTATGTAGCCAACGACCTGCAAGTCGGGCAGACCGGAAAAATTGTCGCTCCAGACCTCTATATGGCTTTTGGGATTTCGGGCGCGATTCAGCATCTGGCGGGCATGAAAGATTCCAAGACGATCGTGGCCGTTAACAAGGATCCAGATGCTCCGATCTTCCAGGTCGCAGATTACGGGCTGGTCGGAGATTTGTTTCAAGTGCTGCCCGAGCTCCTCGAGAAAATTCCTGCCAAGGCTTAAAAAGCAGAGAGCTCATCTAGGCACAATAGGAGCATGTCCCAGATTATCCTCTTTTGAAGGTGGGATTTGATATGGAAGAATTTGGACTACGGTATTTCCTATTATGTTAGCTGGAACAATAAATGTTCGCACAACTAATATTCAAGATGCAACTCACGCCCATCATCAAGGATGGCATTTTGCCCCAAATCAATACTACTGTAGTATGCCGTACTCCAATCCTTGCAACACTCTGTTCTCATGCCCTCCCTTCGGCCCCTCCACTCCACCACACAGAACCCACTCTCAAACCTCTCCCCACTCCACCACACAGAACCCACTCTCAAACCTCTCCCCACTCCACCACACAGAACCCACTCTCAAACCTCTCCCCACTCTGCCATTGCCATCACCCCTTCACTTGTGCCGCTTCATTCCACCACCACACGGAATTCACCTTTTAAATCTCCTTGAACTCATCTCACCCCTCATGTGGTTCAAGCCGAAGCGCCCAGCATCGACTTGCCATTCCACAGCAGCCGCACACTGCTCTAGTCCACACAGAATTTACTCCATGCTCCCCCTCCCCCCCCCAGTCTAAGCGGACTCTACAAACCACTCAGCTCTCATCTCCTCCCATCTCCCCCTCCTGGAGTCCAGGCCGAAGTGCACAAAAATGACAGAGCACAAATACCACAGGGCTTGAGACTGGGTACACGTGCTGCTGCTGCTGTTGCTGATTTCCCCGCCCTGTGTGCTGCTTCAGACATCCCCAGCTGCTCCTGCTGCTGCTGCTGCTGCCCTGCTGCTATGCTGCCCTGCTGCTATTAAGACATCACAAAAACGACAGGAACACGTGCTGCTGTTGCTAATTGCCCCACCCAGTGTGCTGCTTCAAACATCTCTACCAGCTGCTCCTGCTGCTGCTGCTACTCCTCTGCTGCCCTGCCGCCCTGCTACCCTGCTGGCTCTGCTGTGTTAGCCTGCTGCTCTACTGCTCTGCTATTACGTACTTGCTGCTCTGCTGCTTTGCCGCCCTGCTGCTGCCCTGCTGTGATAGCCTGCTACTCGTACCACCTTTTGAGGCGCCTCAAAAGTGCTGCTCAGCCGCCCTGCTGCTGCCCTGCTGTAATAGCCTGTTACTCGTGCCACCATCCCCTCCTCACCTCCTCTCTCCTCATCGCATTCTCATCTCATTGCCTCCTGACTTCTCCTCCCCCGGGCGTCCAAGCAGAAGCACCCAGAATCGACTTGCCATTTCACAGCAGCCTTAACCCCCCTTGCGGATGCCTCTCCACCGCAAACCCTTTAAAGTACGGCGCAATTAACTCCCTCAACCCCCACATGCTCCTCTTGCTGAACGGCCGTGCCACCACCCCCAACCTCCCCATCCGCGCGTGCATCTGGTCCAACATCTCAGCTCACACCAGCCTCTGCATGCCTTCATCTATCCATCCTCCTCTCATCTCCCCCTCCTGGAGTCCAAGCAGAGGCACCCAGAATCGACTGGCCATTCCACATCAGCCGCACACCCCCAGCCGGATGCCTCTCGACCGCAAACCCTTTGGGGTACGGCGCGATCAGCTCTCGCAACCCCCACATGCTCCTCTTGCTGAACGGCCGTGCCGCCACCCCCAACCTCCCCATCCGCGCATGCATCTGGTCCAACCTCTCAGCTCTCACCAGCCTCTGCATGCCTTCGCATGCTACCAGGTTCACCATTTCCCGTGCGAGAACAAACTCCTCGAAGCCGCGGCGGCCGAAGGAAAAGCGTGAGGCGAGGGCATCGTGAGAAGTGAAGATGTTGTGGAAGAAGAGGAGGGCGTCTCGGAAGCGAGATAGGAAGAAGGGCTGCTGCTGGTTGGAGTCCCACTCGACCAGCGCCACCACCTTTGGGTCTAGCTGCATGATCGCCTGGAGAAAGGGTGGAGGGAGGGGAGGAGGGAAGGGGCGGGGGGAGAGTGAGCGCGAGAAGAGTGTACGGAGGCGGGGGTTGCGTTGGAGGGAAGGGGAGAGGCGAGAGGCGAGGGCGTGGTGGGAGGCGAAGATGTTGTGGAAGAAGAGGAGAGCGTCTCGGAAGCGAGAAAGGAAGAAGGGCTGCTGCTGGTTGGAGTCCCACTCTACTAGAGCAACAACCTTCGGGTCTAGCTGCATGATCGCCTGAGAGAGGGGAGGCAGGGAGGGGGACGGGGGAGGATGGAAACAGCAGTCAGCAGTGAGAAGAGTGGAAGGAGAGGGGGAGTGTGTTGGAGGGCAGGGGAGAAGCGCGAGGCGAGGGCGTGGTGGGAGGAGAAGATGTTGTGGAAGAAGAGGAGAGCGTCTTTGAAGCGATGCAGGAAGAAGGGCTGCTGTTGGTTGGAGTCCCACTCAACTAGAGCGACTACCTTTGGGTCTAGCTGCATGATCGCCTGAAGGAAGGGAGGAGGGGGAGGGGGGGGAGGGGGGTGGACGGGGGAGAGTGAGAGGGGCTGTGCATGGTGAGAAGGCCGTAAGGAGGTGGGGGGAATGTTGGAGCGACGGGAAAAGCTTGTGCTGGAGGGACGGGGAGAAGCGAGAGGCGAGGGCGTGGTGGGAGGCGAAGATGTTGTGGAAGAAGAGAAGGGCGTCTCGGAAGCGAGACAGGAAGAAGGGTTGTTGCTGGTTGGAGTCCCACTCGACCAGAGAAACAACCTTTGGGTCTAGCTGCATGATCGCCTGAAGGAAGGGAGGGAGGGGATGGGGAGGGAGTTGTAAGAATGTGTCCAATGGGAGAGGTTACTTTTGAGAATTCTCAAAAGAGAGGTTGTTCGGCATTTCCTGTGCGAGAAGGAGAAGGAGAAGCGCGAGGCGAGGGCGTCATGCATGATCGCCTGGGGGAGGGGGACGGCGGGTGAGGAAGGTGATTGTGTTGGAGAGAAAGGAAGAAGGGCTGCTGGTACACACACCACATCTACATTCTGCCTCGCTTACCTTTACAGCTGTATTGTTAGGGCTGTCTCGGCACTGTAGAGTCTGCCACACAAGCGATTGGTTGCCCAGCACTACTCTCTACCACTGGGCACTAATCACAAGTGCCCTATTCTCAGGTACACTCATCCTCATTCTGCAATCTCTCACCATCGCTCTTCTCTCTTACCCTCACTGCCGTGTCTTTAGGGCTGTGTCTTTAGGGCTGTGTCTTTAGGGCTGTGTCTTTAGGGCTGTGTCTTTAGGGCTGTATCTTTAGGGCTGTGTCTTTAGGGCTGTGTCTTTAGGGCTGTGTCTTTAGGGCTGTGTCTTTAGGGCTGTGTCTCAGCACTGAAGAGTCTGCCACACACGCCAGCCGCCCAGCCACACTCCCAATCAAGAGGCAGGTTCACAGCTCATTCCCATCCTTATTGTTCTTTCCAATCACACTTCCATCTTACCTTTATTGCTGTGTCCTTTGGGCTGTGTCTCAGCACTGTAGAGTCTGCCACACAAGCCAGCCGCCCGGCCACGTTCACCAGCACACACTCCCCACGCTCCACTCCAATCGCCGCCGCCCGCAGCGTCTCCGGCGCCGCCTCGACCCGGGAAAAGGACAAGCTCACGCCGCACTCCTGCGCCGCCCGCGCCAGCTCAGCCTGCAGGAAAGCCGCAGGAAGCTTCGGGCCGGTCCCGTAGGGATGCCCGAAGGGAGGGTCTACGGCTGTGAATCGGATACGGAGGAAGGAGGGAGGGATGGGCGAGGGAGAGGTGGAAGGACCATGCACCGGTGTGGGTGAGGGGGAGGAAGAGGGCGAAGGGGAGTGGTGGGTGGACGTGGGTTGGGAAGGAGAGGGGTGGGAGGGAGAGGAGAAGGCGGATGGTGATTGGGAGCCCTGGCTAGTGGTAGCCGCTGTACTAGCACCGATACCAATGCCGCTGCTGCTGCTGCTGTTATGGCTTTTGATGGTAACAGCGGCTGCTGCCATTCTTTTCCGGGCAGCTGCCGCCAGCTGGCGGATGACGATTGGCCACTGGCCTGCCCACATGGCGAAGTCAACTATGTGGATGTTGGATTCATCCTCTGCCGCGTCCTGCAGAGAGAAAGGGAGAGAGGGGTAGGGAGAGGAGAAGGGGAAGGCGAGGAGGTAGGAAGAGATGGGGGAAAGAGAACAGGGAGAATGAATTATTGGCGAAATCGACAATGTGGGTGTTGGGACTCGTCCTCTGCCGCATCCTGTGGAGAGAAAGCGGGTGAGGGGAAGGGGGGAAGGAAGGGAGGGAGGAGAGAGGGAGGGTGTGAGGGTGCTGGGGCTGGGGGGGTTGCATTATTGGCGAAGTCGACAATGTGGGTGTTGGGACTCGTCCTCTGCCGCATCCTGTGGAGAGAGGAGGGTGAGGGGGGGAAAGGGAGTTGGGAGAAGGGAGGGGGAGGTTGCACAAATGGTGAAATCGACAAATGAGGCTCGTCCTCCGCTGTATCCTGTGGGGATTGAACGCGGTGAAAAGACGGAGGTAACCAGGGGGGAGCGTGGAGAGAACGGAAGGGGGGAGGGGGAGGGGGGAGAAAGGGGGAGAGGGGGGATAGAGAGGGGGGAGGGGGGAGAAAGGGGGAGAGGGGGGATAGAGAGGGGGGAGGGGTGAGAAAGGGGGAGAGGGGGGATAGAGAGGGGGGAGGGGGGAGAAAGGGGGAGAGGGGGGATAGAGAGCGGGGAGGGGGGAGAAAGGGGGAGAGGGGGGATAGAGAGTGGGGAGGGGGGAGAAAGGGGGAGAGGGGGGATAGAGAGTGGGGAGGGGGGAGTTATTGACGACCATGTGGGTGTTGGGCTCATCCTCTCTGCATCCTGTAGAGGGAAAGGGGTTCAGAAGGAGGACAAAGAGGGTTGGGGCGTTGGGGTGGGGGAGAGAGGTATTGCGCTAATGTTCGCGTGGCAAAAACGACCATGTGGGTGTTGGGGCCGTCCTCTCTGCATCCTGTGGAGAGTACGGGAGAAGGGGGGGAAGAAAGGGGAGGGGAGGGTAGAGGTAGAAAGAGCGAGGAGGAGAGGGATAACGAGAGAGCGAGAAAGACAGGGCGGGGATTGGGAAGGGGGGTTAAGTATATGGGTTGGTGGGTGGAGGAAGAGTGGAGGTTTTGAACGAAAGGCGAATCAGCAGTAAGGCACATTCCTTACGACCATTCGTCACTCCCTACCACCACCATTGTGCACGCCTTACCAGCACTCTGCACGCCTTACCAGCACTCTGCACGCCTTGCCAGCACTCTGCACGCCTTACCAGCACTCTGCACGCCTTACCAGCACTCTGCACGCCTTGCCAGCACTCTGCACGCCTTACCAGCACTCTGCACGCCTTACCAGCACTCTGCACGCCTTACCAGCACTCTGCACGCCTTACCAGCACTCTGCAGCCCCTACCAGCCCTCTTCACTCCCTAACTACCACCACTCGACATTCCCCACCCACTCTGCACGCCTCACAACCACTCTGCACGCCTCACCATCACTCTGCACGCCTCACCACCACTCTGGACGCCTTACCAACATGGCACAGGCCAGTGCGGAGTAGCAAAACTGCAGTGTTGGGCAGTGCGCTGCAAAGGCCAGGATCAACGCCTCCTCCTGTGGATGGAGTGGGGTGAAGCGCGATAGAGACGGACGGAGAGGGATGGAGGGGGATGGAGATGAGAGATTGGATGTGAGAATGTCAACAGGCAGTACGCTGCAAAGGCCAGAATCGACTCTTCCTCCCAAAATCACTTCTGACCGAGTCTAGAGTAGACATGAGCAAATTCCCGAATCGACTCGAACCGAACAGGGGTTAGGTGTTCGTCACGAACATGTTCGACTGTTCGGGTGGGTTCGTCCAAAAAAATGAGCGAACACCTAGGTGTTCGCCGAAATCCAGCGCGTCAATTTTTGACGCGCTGGTTGGATCTAAAAGGGGAGGTCGACGATTGAGCTCATTCTTGGGCTCAATCGTCGATTTCCACTTAGGATAGCTTTCCGCCCACTACCCATTTAAACTGCACCACTCCCACGGTTTTAAGTCCACATTGCGGCTAGAAACGTGAAGTATAAGGGTAGATTAGGTTAGGAAACGTTTAAAAACAGAAATATTGAGCATTTCGTTTTAGCAAAGAGTTTAGCAAGGCGTAATTGATTCCCATCAAATCTGCGCCAAGCCTTACAATAACTATTGTAGGGCTTTTGTGAAAGTGTGTGAACACCTTGTTTTCCACCGTTTTCTGGCTAGGCCATTATGGATTCCGAAATGGTTGATGTAGGGTTGGTTAGCAGCCAAGACAAGGCCATTCCTGGCCCATCCGCACTACTAGTTACTGCAACTGGGACCACAAGCCCTCTCACACCTCTCGAGCTCATAGGGGGGCAATACCTAGGAGTCCCCACGTCACCAAAAAGCTACAGGTTTAGTGGCGGGGGGCTGGCTGCACCCTCACATCGGTATGGGAAGTCTCGTGATGAGATCGAGGAGAATTCAGAGGAGGCCGAGGAGGATGCGGAAGGGGGGGGGGGGGGGGGGGAAGGTCAACGGTGGTGGGGGGAGGGGGGGGAAGCCAAAGGGATTGGCTGGAGAGTGGCGGCTGGAAAAGAAGTGCCCACGCATCCAACGTAGTTCATCCGATAGCAATGACAAGGATTATGATCCAAAGAAAGATGGGGATTGCGCGGGGTTGAGGGATGACGACAACGAGGAGGAGGAGAAGGGTGAGGAGGAGGAGGAGGAGGAGGAGGAGGAGGAGGAGGAGGAGGAGGAGGAGGAGGAGGAGGAGGAGGAGGAGGAGGAAGAGGAGAAGGGGGAGGGAGAGGGTAGTGGTGAGGAGGCTGAGGAGGAGGAGGAGGAGGAGGAGGAGGAGGAGGAGGAGGAGGAGGAGGAGGAGGAGGAGGAGGAGGAGGAGGAGGAGGAGGAGGAGGAGGAGGAGGTGTCCCAGTCGGGGAAGGCTAAGGGGAAGGCCAAGGGGAAGGCCAAGGGGAATGCCAAGGGGAAAGCCAAAGGCAAGGGGAACGGGAAGAAGAAGGGCAAGGGTAAAGGCATACAAGGTCAGGAGGAGGGGGGGGGAGAGGACGGTATGGCCGCGTCGGTAGATGAAAATAATGGGCCTTTAAAGGCCTAGAAAGGGCGTAAGAAGGCCCCGGGTTGGCAGGTCCAGATGTTCGGGCCATTGAGGGCGGATGAGAAGCGCAAGTGTAAGATGTGCGACACCCGTATCTATTGGTCGACGGGCACTACGACTCCAGGGGTGCGCCACATGGTTGCGAAGCACACGGCGCACCACAACATTTGGCAGTGTAGGTCCCTAAGGCCTTAGTTGGAATTGACGGAGCTAGCGTTTTTTTCAGAACGATTTTTGCGGTCTGGTTTTTACGCTAGACGGAACCCTCCGAGATTTTGACGGTGGTTTTGACGCTTTGGCGGGCAGGCAAAACAAAACTTTCGGGCAGCCCAAAAAAAACCAGGGGGGGGGTCTCGGGGGGGGAGGAAGGTAAGAGGGTTGTTGAACTTTTGGGCAGCCAACAATGTGATTTTTCCCCCAAAACAAACCTCCATAAATAGTACCATGCATACATAGTTCTCAACATTACTATTACCACCATCCGCCCCCATCGACTCCCACTTAAATACCATCCCGCGATCACCCATCAAGTACTAAGGCGTGCCACAATCACTATCACGCCCTTCCCCTCTACGGCTTCTTCGGGTACTCCTCGTACTCGTCCTCGAGCACCTTCGGATCCGCCTCATCCGCCTCCTCCTCCTCATCGTCCTCCACGACATACCCCTCGGGAATAGGAGCCTCAGGGATCAGTTTCTAACTTTTTACTAAAAACGCTAACCCTAATGTCGCGCGCGCTAAGCTAGGAATCGAGTTTGCTGCTGGTCGTAAACCTAGAATGAAGTCGCGGGAGTTGTGCTTGTGCTAAATGTGTGTCTGCATGTTGCGTTTTGTAGTTGTTGAGCGGTTGAAAGGGGTGGGGGGGTTGTTTTTTGTGTTGTGGGTTTTCAGTGTGTTGCAATGTCGAGTGATTTTTGAAGTCTCGTTTTCGGCGCAAACTTCAATGTTGATTTTTTTTTGCGCGAAAAAAAAATATTCCGATTTCGGGCTGCCCGAAAACTTTTTGGGGGACCGTCAAGCGTCAAAGTCCCCGTCCAGTGTCAAGCATCAATTCGGTCCGAATTGACGCTTGACGCTAGCCTTCCCCAGTGTCAATTCCATGTACGCCTGAGACCACACCTACTGACTAAGGGGGAGACTTTCCCGGAGGGTGGCTACGATGGAGTTCCCGACAAGAGGGTGGTGAATTGGCCACACGTGGCCTCGTGGCCCAATTTGCCGGTGGTGCAGACCCCGAGCGCGAAGGGCGAGGCAGGCGGCATTGAGCGCTTTGTTACAGCGAGGCTGAGTAAGCTGAAGCTTCGTGCGGCGATCACGAAGCTTGTGGTGACCGGCGACTTGCCCTTTCGATGGTGCTGCCGTACGTCTACGCCCTCATCGACAGCCTGGAGATGAAGCTGCACACAGGGACGCATGAACTAGTTCGTCCACTCATGTGTGCCGCGTTAGGGCACCTGAAGCAGTACGAGTTTGCCATCGGGGACGAGTACTGGATCGCGACCTTCTTGGATCCGTCCATGAAGGCCGAGTACTTCAGGATGACACACTGGGAGCTGATGCACTCAGGCATAGTGGCACGTGACGGTGGGCGGCTTAAGCCACGTATGAGTGCGGACAGGGTGGTGAGCTTGGTGCGCCGCCGAGTGGATGAGTACCAGGCTCGAGCAGCACGTGAAGCTCCCACCCCACCACCAGCAGCAGTGGTGAAACCGTTCGAGGACGACGACGACGAGTTTGTGCTCTCGAGGGCACAGCTGCAGAAGCGTGTTTCAGCTAGTGCAGCGGCGAGAGCGGGGGGAGGGGGGACGTCGGTACTTAGCGGAGCTGACTGTCTCGGACGTGCCAGCGCTGCAGTACTGGCAGCGTGCGAGGAACATGGACACGTTGAGGCAGATGGCACGGGATTACCTCGCTATCCCCGCCACCTCTGCAGCTAGCGAGCGAGCTTTCTCCATGGGGAGGAACCTCATCTCCTTGCATAGGCACAGGCTGAACACTGAGCGTGTTAGCGCGAGCATGACTCTCAGGTCATGGTACCCGTCATACCCTGGGAAGAGTATTGGTGAGGAACCCGGCCACAGTGGAGAGCAGGCACCACAAGAGTTGGCGGTGGAGGGAGAGGGGCTAGATGGGGGGGATGAGGAGGAGGCTGTTGCTGTGGGGGGAGGAACCGGAGTTGAGTTAGGGAGTTGCATGGGGACTTGGTGCTGTCTGGCTTTGTTTTGCATGACCTTGACTTGTCGTTGCCTTGAACTTTGAGCTGTTGACTTATTTATCCATATTTCACTAGACCATGTGCGCGAGGCATTGCGGATCTTCGTTGCTGCCTTTATTTACATTCTTATTTTGCTTGTAGAACACACGCCATGAGTTTCTTACATGCACTGAATGTGATTATAATAGAAAGTACCCCCCATGGCAAACTGTTCGAGTTCGTGTCAAACACCTTAGTGTTCGGCCATGCCTCAAAACTGTTCGACACTAACATTTACGAAAATTGTTCGGGACAAACGTGTTCGATTCGGTTCGAGTTGACCAAGTGTTCGTCAACTGTTCGAGTCAAACGTGTTCGGTTCGCTCGTTGCTCATGTCTAGTCTAGAGCCCCAGCAGTACCATCTCACCGCCATCTCACCTCAGGAGCTCGCCCCATGGCCAATGTGGTTGGTTTCCAGTGACAAAAATTGAGTTTTGAGACGACTCAAAACTCAGGAGGTCGCTTCAAGTGAGCGATGTAGTTGGTTTCCAATGCTCCCAGCAGCCCTTCAAGTGAACGAACTGTTGTTGCCCTGACTCATGGCACAGCCAGTGTTGAGACGACTCAAAACTCAGGAGGTCGCTTCAAGTGAGCGATGTAGTTGGTTTCCAGTGCTCCCAGCAGCCCTTCAGGTGAACGAACTGTTGTTGCCCTGACTCATGGCACAGCCAGTGTTGAGACGACACAAAACTCAGGAGGTTGCTTCAAGTGAGCGATGTAGTTGGTTTCCAGTGCTCCCAGCAGCCCTTCAGGTGAACGAAATGTTGTTGCCCTGACTCATGGCACAGCCAGTGTTGAGATGTCTCAAAATTCGAATCATGGGTTTTGAGACGTCTCAAAATTCGAATCATGAGTCAGGGTGTCCCTCAGGTGAACGAACTGTTGTTGCCAGCTCATGGCACAGCCAGCGCACCTCAGGCGCGCGGCTCAGATGGGTGATATAGTTGGTTTCCTGGTCGCCTGAAGCCCTTTTAGCAAGGGGAACGAGCAGGTAGTGGGAGACAGCAGCAGCAGCAGCAGCAGCATCAATTGCCCCCATTAACACCAACATCTCACTGCTTTCTCACCTCAGGGGCGCGGCTCAGATGGGTGATATAGTCCGTGCCCAGGGCGCCTGCAGCCCTCTTGGCGAGAGCAGTGAGCAGGTAGTGTGAGACGCGCTGCATGGGCGTGCCGTAGGGGGAGGAGAGCGGACGCAGGCGACGAGTCAAAGACACCATACGCGGCTGTATGGGGGCATGGATTGACGGGCAGGAATGGGGAGCGGGGTTTGAGAGTGGGGGGGGAAGAGGGAGAGGCAGGCTGTGAGCAGGTAGTGGGCGATGCGCTGCATGGGCATGCCGTAGGGGGAGGAGAGCGGATGCAGACGACGAGCCAGGCTGACCATACGCGGCTGCACAGGAGCAGGGAGTGGGTGGGGAGGGGAGGGCACAGGGAGGACGCAGGCAGTGAGCAGGTAGTGTGAGAAGCGCTGCATTGGCGTGCCGTAGGGTGAGGAGAGCGGACGCAGACGGCGAGTCAGGCTGACCATGCGTGGCTGCACAGTGGGGGCGGGTATGGGGAGGTTGGGGAGCAAGGAGGCAGGCTGTGAGCAGGTAGTGGGAGACGCGCTGCATTGGCGTGCCGTAGGGTGAGGAGAGCAGACGCAGATGCACCCCTTGTCAGGCTCACCATACGCGGCTGTGGTGGGGGAAACGGGAGAGGGAAGATGGGAGAGGGGAGAGGAGTGGGAGCGGGAAGCAGGAGAGGGGAGGCGGGAGGGGAGGCAGGGAATGAGCAGGTGTATTGCACAACCTGCCTCATTTCCACTCTGCCCTCAGCAGATCGCCACGCTCTCTCCCTCACTCTCTCTTGCACTCTCACTCACCACTCACTCACTCACTCACTCACACTCACTCTTTCACTCACCCACTCACTCCCGCACGCATCTCAAACTCACCTGGTCCCCTGTGGCCATGGCCTCAGCCAGCTGAAGCAGGTCCTGCTGTGGTACCTCATCAGACACCCTCCCACTCACCCACTCTCACCTCACCTGTTCGCCCCTCTCGCCACTCTCACCTCACCTGTTCGCCCCTCTCGCCACTCTCACCTCACCTGTTCGCCCCTCTAGCCACTCTCACCTGGTCCCCCGTGGTCACGGCTTCAGCCAGGGGCAGCAGGTCCTGCTGAAGCCCCTCGTCTGACACCCGTCCACTCTCACTCACTCTCTCCCCTCGCCTGATCCCTCTCCCCTCGCCTGATCCCTCTCCCCTCGCCTGATCTCTCTCCCCTCGCCTGATCCCTCTCCCCTCGCCTGATCCCTCTCCCCTCGCCTGATCCCTCTCCCCTCGCCTGATCCCTCTCCCCTCGCCTGATCCCTCTCCCCTCACCTGGTCGCCTGTAGCCACGGCTTCAGCCAGTTGCAGCAGGTCCTGTTGCAGAATCTTATCCGACACCCGCCCACTCGCCATGTCGCGCACACTCTCCGTGTCTCCAAACTCACTCACTGCCCTCGGCACCGCCTCCACTCTCTGCTGCTGCTGCTGCTGCTGCTGCTCCATCACTCTCGGTTGAATCACTCTCGGTTGAATCACTCTTGGTTGAATCACTCTTGGTTGGTGGTTCTGCTTCGGCTGAATTGCCCTCAGGTGAGTTACTCCTGGCTGATTCACATTCAAATTCACACTTGGATTTACACTCGGCTGATTGGTTCTTAGTTGGTTGGTTTGTTGCTGCTGCAGCTGAGGTCCTGCTCTTAGTGCCCCTCTCAGCCGCTGCTCCAATGCTGACGCGCCACCTGGCGCGTCTCCCACTGCCGTGACTGTCAACGCATCTGTCAGCGTGCGCTGCTGCTGACGTGTGCTTGTATCGAAGGGGCTTATACTGAACGGGTCCCCTGCTGCTCCGTCTGCTGCTCTGCCTGCTGCTGCTGGGGCTACCCCAAATCGAGTACCTACTCCTACTCCTGCCCCTGCCCCTGCTCCCGCTGCTCCTGCTGCTGCTGCTGCTGCCTGGGTTGCGGAATCGAGTACTCGCATCACTGAAGGGTCAAAAGAGTATTTCCTGGTATCTGCAAAAGATCCTGGAGGGAACAGCACGACATCTGTCCCTGCTGCTGACCCTGCTGCTGCCTCATCAGAGCTAGATCTCGCCACAAGAGATGCTAGTTCAGACGCCAAGTCCCTCCCTCTTGAGGGAGGGTTTTCAAGCGCCACTTTACCATCAACTTGCATGGGCCTACCTCTTTCATCATAACTGGTTCTCGCCACAAGCGATGCTAGTTCAGACGCCAAGTCCCTCCCTCCTCCTGCTGCCCTATTTTGAAGCGTTTCGTTGACATCAACTTGCATGAACCTACCGCTCTCACCACTCGCAGCAGCAGCGGCGGCAGCAGCGGCAGCAGCTGCAGCAGCGGTGCTGTCCCGACTACCACCACCACCACGAATGCCACTCAAACCACCGCTACCACTACCACCACAACCAGCATCATCACAAGCAACAGTACTAACATCACCCCTACCACCACCGCTCCAGCCCTGACCCGTCATACCCACTACACCGAACCTGCCCCTCTCTCCCGAGCCTACTGCCAAACCACCAGACCCTACAGCAACCCTATCCTCGTTAGAAGCACCCCGTGAGAACCCTGTAATAGCCTTTTCCAGAGCCTCCATCTCTGCTGCGCGCATAGAGTCAATGCTGGCGAAGGGGAACTCTAGATCGAACTGGGACACCTGTAGCGGCCGCTTGGACGGCTGTAGCGCCCGTTGTGCCGGCTGTAGCGGCTGGTTTGCCTGCTGCTGCTGACCCTGGTGCCGATTCTGCTGCTGGTATAGTTGCTGCTGCTGCTCCTGCTCCTGCTCCTGCTGCGGTTGCTGCTGTTGCTGATTCTGCGGCTCAATCTGTTGGCCATGGCCTCGTTGCGCTGGCTCTGTATCCTGTCCCGACAGCTGCCGCCGCACCAGCGCAAGCAAAAGCGAATCCGTCACTCTACCTCCTCCCTCCAGCTGCACTTGCTGCTGCGCCTGCTGCTGCTGCATCTGCTGCTGCTGCTGCTGCTGCATCTGCTGCTGCTGCTGCTGCATCTGCTGTAGTTGCACTTGCTCCTGCCGCTGCATCTGATGATGCTGTGGTGCTTGCGGCCGCCCTTGCAGCGCCTCCCATAGCTGATCGTGCTGCTGCTGTTGCTGCTGCTGCAGTTGCTGTTGCGGCTGCTGCTGCAGCAGCAGCTGCTCTAACTGCTGCTGCTCTATCTGCTGTCTCTCGTCTGTTTGTTTCTTATGCAGCGGCTGCGGCGGTTGTTGTTGCTGCTGCTGCTGCTGCTGCGGATTTGAATGCGCTCTAGACACCTGCTGCTTCTGAAATCTAGTAACCGCACTGGCCAGACGCTTAGATAAGTCCACTGGTTTCCTGCGAGGCCCAAGCTCTAATCCCCCCGAACCACTAAGTACTCCTCCCTCCTTGACGCCACTACTACTGCTACTGCCACCAACAGCAGCAGCAGCAACAGTAGGGCCGGTGCTGTCCGCGAAAGAAGTGAGGGCGGGCGTAGCGATCAAGGGAGATGCAATGGCGTGAGAATCGATGAAAGGGGGAGCGGCAAAGGCGGGAGCTGCAATGGAGGGAGGGGTTGCGGCGACAGGGGGCACGGCGGCAAAAGCAGGAGACGCAGCAGCGGGAGAAGCAACAGCGGAAGAAGCAACAGCGGCAACAGCAGCACCTGTTACCGAGACTTGCTGCGACCCGGACGGAACTCGATCCAACGGGGACGATCGCTGCTTGCCTCGCTGCTGCAGGCTCGAGCTGAGCGGCGCGCTAAGCAAGTCCATGTTCCACTCCGCCGTGGCCGCTACAGTCGCTACAGCCGGCGTAGCTGCTACAGTCGCTACAGCCGGCGTAGCCGCTATAGTCGCTACAGCCGATGCAGCTGTTACAGTCGCCCCAGGCACGCGGTTACTAATGCGTCCTCCCTCTCTTCCTCCCCCGGGGACGGGCCCTGCTCTCTCGCCGCCTCCCCACGTATCTCCAAAATCCCCTTTGCTCCGCTTACCAACTCGACCACTGCCGTCGGCGCCACCGCTCATTCCGCCCAACCCGCCCAACCCTCCGGCTTCAGGATCTGCGGAGGGGACCACAGGCGGAGCAACGAATCCCTCCCAGCCGAGTTGCTGTGGTAACGCCGCCAGAGGCTGCTCCAGACTCGGATCCCCCCCTAGCCCTTGCGCTTGCCCTTGCCCTTGCCCTTGCGCTTGCCCTTGGGCTCGCCCTTGCCCTTGCGCTTGCCCTTGCCCTTGCCCTGGCACTGCCCTCATCAAATCAACCCCGAAAAGTGAATCCCCCTGGTGCGGAACAATATTCTGCTCTGTATCATGATCACCATAAACATAGTGGGAACCGACCAGATAAATAGGAGTGGTTGAAGTGGTGACACCGAGGGAACCATGGGTGATATGATTGTAATTTCTAAATTCTTCGCCAAAGCGCGATTCATCGCCGGCTGCATGATCGTGAGATTCTGGCGGACGATCCGCTAGAGGATGCTCCGTTAGTAAACGATCGTCGTACTCATGGTGGTGTCCCATTTCGTGCTGACCGTCCAAGAAATCTCGCAGCGCGAATGGATCGATCGGGGTTGGGATTGGATCCAAGGCAGCATGATGATGATGTATATCTGCTGCCAATGGCATCGTTGATGAATCGGGCAATTGCCACGTGGACTCCTCGAAATGCCATGGTTGCGTCGCGTCCCTGCGCACCGTGGTATACGAAAGTAGTTCTAGTCATATATACCGTAGCAAGTTTCAACGCACATGGTAAGTCATAAACGCCGCAGGCAAAACAAGCGTTACTAAAAGAAGTGAAAACAAACAAACAAACAAACAAAACAAAACAAAACAAACCAATAAATAAATGCGATGAGAGGAAAGAAGCATCTGCAAACTTTGGAATTTCGACACCAGCATGTGGACCCACCACAGAGAATTATGATCGTCCATCAGGCTGCTACTAAAATCACACACAGCGGTATGATGAACTCCAAGAATCATTTCCAGTAAGACACAAGCACTCTTTCCTTTTCCTACGGCGATATCATGTGGCAGTTGGAAGTGAGAGGTGATGGAGAGAGATCAAGGATGGTCTCCTGTGGGAGGAGGAAAACTCAATCTCCCTTTCTTAGTTGTCATCACAACTGAGGTTGACATCGCACAACAGAAAAGACAGCGTGATGATGCAATCACGGTGTGGAGTGGAGTGGAGAGCACAGGCGGGCGGAGCTGCAATCCTTGCTTGAAGCCAACAGACAATTGGGTGGTATCGTCGTCGCACAGTCGACTCCACAGAAATCCACTGGGCTTTCCCCTCATTTCCCATCGTCCCTCGCACCCTCGCTACGCCGCTACACATACACCCTCTTTCGCGCTAGTAGAGCACCTGGTTGGAGAGCGTACATGGATTGTAGAACGTCACCACGTTCAGAATGGTCTTGTCACCTACTGTACAAGCACAACGCGAAGAATGCGGTTAGGTAAGGTTATGCACTTTACAAAAAGCGTTGTCAACGTTTTCATCTGTTTGGGAAAGTTATGAAGCGATTACGGAGATTTTACGTCCTTGAGCCAGTTTGTCACGTGGTCCGGCTTTCCCCCCAGGTTGCCTAGGAACGTTTATTGGCACCAGATCGCATGAGACAAGTACTGTAGCGACGAGTCGCGCAAGGTGAAAAGGTTGAGAAAGAGGGTGTACCATAGATAAATGTTTGGATCTGAGGGGACCGGAACCGAACCAAATCTTTGCTTCGCTCCACAATTTTTCTGTGATTTGTAAAACTCCTGGCCAGGTCAGGTCGGTGGTGTGATGCGGTGCGATTGTAGTTATGCTTGGGGAATAACGGGCCCAGCAAACCCGTTTCTTGCCGTTACTGTACAGTTCTGCCCAGGGTAACTCGGGCTGGAGAATTCGTTGCTCGGGGCCGTCCATCTAGTAGTTATCCTTGTTTTTGCTGCGTTGATTGGTGTTGTACGTTATGCACGAATGGCCCACCAGCGAAGGACGCAATTCATCTGGGACCCGGCAAATCATCTGGCAAGACTTCTCGGTAATGACTGTAGCTGCTGATTAATAAACTGTACAAACAAATGTATCGTAGCGAATATACCCATGGCGCTCAGCCTTCGTGTGCACATTTGCTTGTTGCTACCAAAACCCTTCCCATTAACAACTGGCACTAGACAATAACACGCGGTTTACAGGCCCGACGATCCTCTTGCAAAGACAAAGCGGTGTGTTAAACTGGCAATGTGTGTAACGAAACAGCCGCAGTTACCTTGGGGGGCCTCGCGGCATGTTGCAAAACAAACTCTGCCATCCCTCATTGTTTCGCGAAAAGAACGGACGTGTTAATACTGCTAGAAATGACAATATTATTCTGACCGTTTTCAGGGTTAACGAGCGATCGAAAAATCATTGTCTATGAAGACAGAAATGAAAACCGGGTGTATTTTGATCACCGTAGTCCAAGGAACTTAGACCTGACCAACATCAAAAACCTTCTCGCAAGCTGACAGACCGACAGATCACACGACATAAAGAGCAGGTTACACAATTCATCTCAGCCATAAAAAACCGCCATGTTGGTTCAGATCTTATTTTTCCCATTCC